TCCTTCACTTTTGGGGGCACTACACGTGAGCGAAAGCGGCTTATGGAAGCTGAGTATCGGTTAGGTGGGGTGGGGTTGGGGCGCTGACCGGCAACGAGACGGCACGGTACCTCGGGTTGCACTATGGCCCAGGAGTGCGGTTTTCAGCATGTACCAAGCAACTACTCGCAGCAGGGAGGCGGCCAGCACCCTGTGTCGAGATAAGAAAATTACCACCCCCAAGCTATGTATGTCTCTCTACAATACACTAGTTGTACCGGTGTTTTCTTAATAATATATCCGAATTCCGAATAAAAAATGTTCGTGGTCCTAAAAACTAGGAATGAATAATGTTTCCGACCGTACAAGTTCATTCCTCCAGCCAAAAATGGGCTGTCCATGCCAAAGCCGCTAGGATCTTACAGAAGACATACATATTAACCATATCATAGCAATGTCGCTACTCCGGTTGTCAACAGTGAGCGGGCCAAGCGTCAACGTTCTTCATATGGAGACAATCGTGATGGGCCAGGAAACACGGGCGTCGAGTTTGATGGCAGCAGCCACCCCGGCGCTGCAGCTAAGACTCCTAACCCCACACTCTGTGGCGCAAAGACACCCCGACTGCAGACACAGCGGATCGTGAAGGGGCAGAGCGACGGCGCGTGGCTGGAAAAGAAGGACAAGTATTCCTTCAAGTGGCAGCTGTACTTCGGAGCCATGTTAGTTTGGGCTGATGTGCGGTGTTTTCCTTTCCTTCGTGGCTTTTAGGCGTTGTAGTATTGCCCTTGGGCCCTCGGCTCCTATGGGTAGTCTTACAGGTATGGGGTCATGCACCCCCAACCATGTAAAACACACACACACACACACACACACACACACACACACACACACACACACACACACACACACACACACACACACACACACACACACACACACACACACACACACACACACACATGGACGCAGTGCATTATGCATATCTGGAGATATTGTGGTGTGCACGTATTGTGACATTCCCCAACCCGGTGTTTGTATGAACTAAACTGTAACTCATCGGGGGGTGTCTGGGGGGGGGTGTAGCCCCCCCAGCGCCTTACAGATTAAGAATACTTTTATTCCCGCGACTAATAATCTATTTATCCGTTCGGACTGGAAAATTGACGGGCGGTGGTGGCGGTGGTGGCCGTGGTGGCGGTGGTGGCGGTGGTGGTGGCGGTGGTGGTGGCGGTAGTGGTGGTGGTCACTCTGGCGACCAGCAGGCGCTATGGCCAGCTGTAGCGGCTTTGCAAAGTCGGGTGCCGCATGATGCCGCCTTCTCGCTCGAGTTCCTGCAAGCCGTATATGATATTTGCACGACTCCATGTCCCGAAGCCACCCCTTAACAGGATCGACGTAAAAAAAGTAGCAACGTGCTGTCGACTGTCTGTTGCAGTATATCTATATATATCTATTAAGAGATATTTCCCTTGCTTATTTGGCACTTGTACATGTGGGTTCCAAGTTGTTGTCGCTATCTGCCATACTTGTTTCTCTTTTGTTGTTGCAGGGTGGTTAAGCTTCACCAGTGGCCTCCTTCCCGAGGCAATTCCCTGCTCTCCCCTGCTAGAGGGGCACCCTAATCCATTCACCCCTTCCGACTTCAGAGTGTACTCTTTGAGTTTGGCAACTCACCACCGGCATCCAACCAAATCTAGCGGATCAACGGCGCCTCAACTTAGTTCCTGGTCAGCTCGCAAGTTGATTTTATCACGTCCTACACCGTCCACAAGATGGGGGGCCACCTCCCAATTCAACACCCCTCCACACACCCGAGAGGTCGGCAGGCGGGTTTGAACCCGGGTCGGCTGGGAGCAGAGGTCAGGCTTTGCCGCCAGCCGCCTGTTTCTGTATTATGGGTGATAATTTCCGTGTGTGTTGTTGTAATGTGTGGGGATAGATGAAGTCCTGCAAAGGCTGCGAATTCCAAGGTTCAATATGTAAATGATTAATGCAGCGTTACACACGAGTGAAGGAGTGATTTGTTGAGAGCAATCGCATCATATGTTGGTTAGTTAGGAGTATATCCCTTCTTGCCGATTTATGTTTCTTCTGTCTGTTGGTGACATTGTTCAGAACATAGTGCAAATATCTATTCTCTGGAGTCTAGATGTTGACTTTTCATAAGTTGTAGCAAGTAAGCGACATATGTGCACACGGATAGTGACAAACGTTGCTGTAACAAATATCGGCAGGCGCTAACAACAGAACGCCGGAAAAGCATAACCGCAGCGCGCCGTCGAACCCAGCATCTGATCGCCACACGCCCTCGACGGGCTCACCAAGGCATCTTCAGCAAGGATGAACTCGAACGCGGCCTGCCTGCGGTGAAACACCCGGTCTCCGGTAAAATATGCACGGAACCCGAATCCATCCTTGAAGCAGTCCACCAGTACTTCCAGACGCAGGCCGCCCCCATTGGCCCCCCGAAGACCGGACGGTACCGACCCGAGGAAACCCCTCGAGCGTACCCATTTCTGCAGAGTGCCGCCCCAGACACGTTCTCCCTTACCAGCCCGAAACAGGCCGCGGACCACGTCCTGCTTAGCAGCGTCGCTGACCCTTTTAACTTTAACAAGTGTGTCCAACACCTGGCCCGCAATAAAACACCGGGACCCGATGGGAATCCTTACCGAGATATGGGGACCATTGCCCAATGGCTTTACAGTCCACCATCCACGGACTTCTTGAAGTTCAGGGGGGCCCAGGCCCGCACGCCAAAGCAATGGACTGAATCTGTTACGGTCCTTTTACCAAAAGCAGGAGATGCGCTCCTCNTGAACAACAAGCGACCCATTGCCCTCGCCAACACTCTTTATAAGTTATGGACTAGCCTCGTCACAGTGTCCATCGGGGACGTCGCTCCCGAACTAGCGTTGTTTAGCGAGGCGCAAGAAGGGTTCCTCCGGTACAGAAACACGGAACGGCAAATCCAAAACCTGCTCCACGTCATTGAGGATGCTGGGCTCACACGCAAAGATCTCTACCTGTTATACGTCGACTTCTCCTCGGCATTCAACACCATCAACCACGACCTGCTGCTACAGATCATGTACGACCTAGGGCTACCCGAGGACCTCATCTATGTCGTACGGGATCTGTACAGCCAAGCGCGGACCACTATACAGACAGAACACGGCCTCACAGCGCCAATAATGATCGAACGAGGCACAGTACAGGGGGACACGCTCTCGCCGGTGCTATTCATTATTTTCCTCGAACCACTCCTCCGATGGCTCCACGCTGGCGGACGAGGGTACAAGTACGGCTGCCTCCCCGACAGCTTGAACGCCAGGTACCATGGAAGCTCAGCCGCTTACGCCGACGACCTCACCGTGATGACCAACAGCGCACAAGACCTACAAATACAATGCGACAAGATCAGCTTGTACTCGAAATGGGCGGGCCTACACGTGAATCACAAAAAATGCGCAGTGACGGGCATCCTGCACCACAGGGCATGGGCCGACCGAGGTCTGAACGGACCCACGTGCGCACGCACCCTCAAGGCAGCCTTGGATGAAAAAATCAAAATCAGCGGCCAGTCAGTGCCGTACCTACCCCCCACGGAACCCTACAAGTACCTTGGGGTCCACGTAACGCTGACCCTCAACTGGAGCGCACAGATGTCCCACGTCTGCAAGGCGGTGAGGGACAAGGGCGACCTACTTCAGGGATCCCTAGCATCGCCGGACCAATGTATCAGAATCATACAGACTTGTATACAAGCAGTAGTGTCATACAGCTTCTCCACCATGGCATACACTCCTAATGATATCAGACTTTTGGATGCGATGATCGCACGCGCAGCCCGACGCTGCTACCGCTTGCCCACCAGTTTTCCCACACGCGCCGTGCTGCTACCAGTGGAACAATATGGACTCGGCGTTGGGTCCCTGCTACCGATCTATGTGCGCATGGCAGCTCGCGCGCTGGTCCTCTCCCTGAATGATGAAGGCCGGCTAGGCGTCGTGACACGAGCCATGCTTGAGCTGCAGTGTCGTCTTGCGGCCGACACTAGGATGCACATGTTGAAACGCGAGAGCAGTTTCTACACGACCCTGAAACAGCTGACCCTGGCGCGAGACCATGGCATCGCGGTCACCGACAAAGGGATGCCGTATAACACATCCCTAAACACTCTCATGACGGCCGCCTCCGCCGTCAACGCGCGGCAGGACACAAAGTCCGAAACCCTGCCGTACAGATGCTTGCTCCCCTTGACAGAGCTGGGCCTAGACATGCACGCGCTCATAGACAGGAACACAACACAACACCTCATCACCACCACTGATCTTCAGAAGCTTTTCCCCCGGGGCAAGGTGCAGCACCGGCACAAGATCGCCTTGAATCGACTAGGCCTAGCGATAAGTGCCCAATGCCCCCAAGCTCCACACACGAAGGCACATGACCCACGTCGCTGGTCGTCCGCGCTGCCTCTGGAAGACAGACGCCTCCGCGAGATCCCCAGTGACCCTCCGTACACCGGCCTCCGGCACAAATCAAGTCTCCCCAACCCGATACTAGCACCATCCCTCGACCCACATGTACGCCGTGACACACCTGTCGTGTGGAGCACGACCACGAAGAAGCCACACCATCCCCGCGCAGAGCCAGACGACATGGAGGGTGACCCACCAGCGCCGCCGAGCCACCCTGCGGAATCAGCCTGCACAGGACGGAAACGCACAAGATCCGTCCACCAGCGGCAACAGGATTTCATCAACAACAATACACGCTGTGACAACAGTAACGTGGGAACAGATAGTGCAGCTATACACAGCGCGCAACTTCGCGACCCAGCCCCGCAATGCACATCCTATATGGAAACGAGACGCGTCATGACAGCTCTGCGAAAAGACACCCGTAGGAGTGTGCCCAACCTAGGGAACCCCCCTGGGCCTATCGTCCAGGGACCGCGACCGCGCCCAAGCCGGCAAACCCGTCGCACTCTAAGCATCGGCATGACCCCGTGACAGGAGAAATCGGTACCCCAAACCCAGTGCTGGTGTACCTTGCAGAAAAGGGACTCGACTGTACGCCAGTAGCGCCACGTAACCCCCGCGCCGGCGCAGGCGCGGGGGCGGCAAGGGCCGGTCCGAACACCGCCGACAGGGACCACGCCGGTGATCCGCCTGCGCCCGAACCGGCCAGAGCGCTACCGGGGGCACCGAAGCCACCAGAGCACCTCACCCCGCAATGGTGGAGACCTCGATGGAAAGTCGCCCGCGATCAAATACTGGAGGACAGGATACCCTGGAAGCCTGGAAAAGGCCAGGCAAAGGACACAACGGGGCAACAACAGATAGTTTATGACCTATACAACGATGTAGAGGACATCGTAGAAGTACTCGCGGGCCCTATCACAAAACGCATCGTCCCCTCAAACGTTAAACCTCCCAAGAAACAGAAAATCGGGGCCGATACGACCGCAACCCACGAACAGTACTACACGGTTCGCTGGAAAGACACTATCACCCCGATATCTATCGTCGGCGCATACGCCAGCATGGGATACGTGCCCAGACAGCTATTACCAGTGACAGGTCTTTACGGCACGCGGATCGACCGCCACTTCCGCAGAGCGGTATGGGAACCGTCAGATATCCCCGCCGCGCAACTCGGTAGGTTACCCAACGGACCAGCGGCGATGGCGAGGTACGAGCAAACGAGGTCGCAGAGCGTGAACCCCCTCTCGAGATACCCCAAACCCAAGGACAGCAATCTAACGAACCCTCAGAGGCAAGGCCGATGGAACCCGCCCCCCTCGGAGCAGACCCAGCGGGCACGCCTTATTCGAGCAAACACTACCTTTGAGACTGCGCCGTGCAACCCATACATGGACACGCGCCCCACGGGAAATTATCGAATCCAGCTAGGTCTGCTAACCAGAGAGGGCGGCTCGACCGAAGGGAACACGGCCTTCGTCTACGACCCGAGAGGGAAATGTGTGGGCACCCTCACCCTGCAACGCCTGGAGACCCTCAGAATGCGATATCAACACACGATCGACACTTACCCCGAGGTGCACAGAAGCCTGTCCTCCCAGGGCGGCTTCGCCAAGGACGTCGCGCGCCTTCTCCTGCGGTACGGAAAGGACCCCGACGGGCGCGAAACGAAAGGCCCGCCACGGTCGCAGGCGACCATGAGCAGAAAACTGCGCCGTACGCTGATTGATGCCCTGCACGCCCTGGATGCCGGCCCAGTCGTCGAAAGGTTCTCATCCCCGCTTAACTGCGGTGAAGAGGTGCAATACTACTTCAGTGTCCACGCAGAAGACCAACTCTTCGGGGCAAACATAGATGCATTCTCTCAGCCATTTACAGGCCTCTCGATAGCACACCCGAACCCTGACCCCACCAGTGTCAAGAAGGCAGTAATGTGGGCAGTCGCAGGCGCATCACACACTATGACATCCGCACTGCCCACCGCCACACTACTCATTGTCCCGCACAGCCGAACTGGCCCCCATACGCAGCTACACAACACACCGTATGTCTTCCAGCTCGCGCGGCTGAGCCGTGGTGAAGCGTGCAAGCTTACCAGCGGGACTGGAACTGACGACCCCACCCCTGACTACAAGGGGGGCCTGGACCTCGTCGTGGTGGCCAACGACACGGCGATCCGAGGACTAAACGCCCGATCCATGAAGGTGCTCCTATCCGAACTCGAAGCGATGGACGCCACCGGCCTCCCCAGAAAACATCTGCGACTGCGGGACATGTCCGCGGGTACTCACTGCGTCGGCACCCAACGACCCTACCCAAACAAAGTCGCTCAGGTCATGCGCAAGATGAATGCCTCAAAGCCGCCCAGACCAAGACCAACCGCCACAGTCCCCCACTCGGACGGACAGATGCTCCAGCAGCGCCTGACAGCAGCTTTTCCCGGACAAGTACCACTCAGGATGGACCCGCACACTATCATCTGGACCGACGGTAGCTGTATTAAATCGGCTGAAAACAACGGCCAGAACAAGTTGGGTGCGGCTGCATACTGTGGACCCACCGGAAAAACGCTGCACATCGACCCAGCGGGCGAAGGATGTACGAATACCATTCAACGGGCAGAGCTGGCAGCAATACGCGTAGCTCTATGAACCCAAAGGGCGGTGAACATCACCTTAACAATTGCCACTGACTCGCAAGCCTCACTGGATCTTATCAAAAGAGCAGTAAACGATCCGAGTAAACTGCATATTTCCAAGCACAAAGCCTTACTAATGGACATCGCCGACCTACTGTACGAATGCGCCCAACAGAACATAACCGTTCACTTCCTGAAAGTGAAATCGCACACAGGCCTTGATGGTAATGACAAAGCTGACAAAGGAGCAACATCTGTCGCACGAGGTGAGAACCCAGCAACATTTACTGAAAAGGCCGACAATGCCCCGTTCGATAAAGTGTTCTGGCTGAAACAACGCGACACTGGTCTTTACGTTAGTGACCTGAACAAAGGCCTTTAAAAGCGTCTCCAGCAAGGTACCTTCGCAGGCTACACCAACGACGCAATACTAACTGAAAAATGGCGTAACACCGCCTCGAAGTTAGACCCCAAATCTAGCAATTCCTTCCTTAGTAACGCAAAGATGCCACACTGGCTCAAACTGCAAGTACTGAAAGCTCGATACGGGCTGCTATTCAATGCTAAACTAAAGAAACTTTACGGACGAGGCGGAGACGGCAACTGCCCTATCTGCCGCAGCTGCGGCCCGACCGGCCCCACACCCGACTCAGGAGCCCACATACTCGGCGGGTGCCCCCACCCAACCATGAAGGGCATGTACATCAACCGGCATAACCAAGCGACGCGCACTATTGCCGACTGCGTCAACGGGGGCCACCACGGTGGTGGTTTCATGATTATGGACGCCGGTAAAGAAGAGGATCTCCCGCCGTACTGCAGTGGGATGCGCGTCCCCAAATGGATGCTGCCACACTTAGCGGACGAGGAAATCCGTCGCCTCCGCCCAGACATCATGTTCATCCCCGACCTCCCCGCGCACAGAACCAAGCGCAAACGGTACCAGGGGCCGGAGTGCAAATCCAAGCACGATGTATACATTGTTGAAGTGGGCTACACCAGTGACCTGCAGCACTCCGACAAACTCGAACAGAAAACCGCACAGCATGCACGGCTAACAGAGGAACTCACGAAAGCAGGCTGGACGGTGCACTACACCGAGGCGCAAATTGTCACCCTGGGAAGTACTGGGACACTAACCAACACACTAAAACCGCTACTGTGCAGACTCGGCTCGTCCGCTGAGCAGGCCC